ATAGCATTACGAGTTAATATGATGCAAGATCTGCACCCTGGCTGGCGCCGTGCAAGGACAGAGTATGTCTTATAAAAGTGTGCACAAAGTTGTGATGGCCATTGGCCAAGCCTATGGCCTAGAAAGGCCTTGTAGGCCTTAACGCGCTAGGCTACAAGGCTATGCCATTCTAGGCCATAGGCTAGGCCATCACAACTTTGTGCAAACTTTTAAAAGACACACCCTGTATGAACATACATAAGTGTCGTAACCGGGAAAAAGGGTAACTTGCTGTTAACTTCGGTGGTGAGCACCATTATTCAGTAGTTGAGCTCATCTTATCAAAAGTTATATAGACCGCAAATTACAGAAACTTTGAGTTATTTCTCCCTTGTGATTATTTGTAATGAGTAGCAAGACTAATGGTGCTGCAAAGAGGAAAAAACGACGGCAAGCAGATCGAGAGCTACAAAAAGTGAAGAATATTGATAGTTTTTTTTTTTTTTTGCTGGCGGAGCTTCAAGCTCTGATAATACTGCTATTTTCGAAACCGATCCCCAAGAATCGCAAGGTGAAGCCACAGAGAATAGTCTCCTGGGGGAAGAGGACGCTACTGACGATCCGAGAGTAGCTTTGGAAGATTATTGCATCGTTTCACGAACGGGTCAGACGCTCCTGAACTGGAAATCGACGTGGCTCTAGCAGATGTAAGCGAGCCAGCGCCATGCTGCCTGGGTTCTGCAGCTGCATCTAAAGACTCTTTCGCGCGAGAGACACCCAACTTACAGAGGAAACTTTCCAACAGATGTACAGTAGTCACCTCCCAGATGAAGAGATTTGTTCTGGAGCAAGGACCATGCCGATCGAAGGGGCCCTACCCTAGGGATAAAATTCAAGACTGCTCGTTCTCAGAATCATATTACAGTACCACAGCGAAATTGGGGCTGTCCATCCCAGTAACCTGACTGTTATTTCCGAAAACTGGACGCCGTTTACTGTGAGCCCTGTTGACTGTTTGCTGACAGAAAGGACTCAAAATACCATTCTGTCTGGTCTACGGGCATACGTGACTGGCGTGAACTTTCGCAAAAAATTAATGATCATGCTAAATCAGCTACACACCCCTCAATTTGCATGACCTATATCCAATGGAAGCAGAATGGCACAATTGACGAAGCAGCCGAACGTCAAGTACAGCGTCAAAAATCCTTCTGGAAACAAGTGTTCGAGCGCTTAATTAAAATTTCGATAAAAATTACTTCGGCTACGAATGCCCAAGCGTTTTGTGGCAATAGAGAAAAAAATCGATGAAGCGTACAACGGGAATTTCCCCTCTCAGGTGGAGCTCTTGGCTGAGTTAGATCCTGTGATGAAGGAGCTTCTTTACAGACCAAGTGGGAAAATCAATTATCTGAGTCCTTAAATCCAAAGCGAGTCCATTGAGCTTCTTGCAAATAATTTGGAAACAGAGCTACTGCGTGATATGAAAAGTGCGCCATTTTTCTCTATCATTATGGATACGATACATTTCAAAAAAGGACCAACCGAACCATATCTACTGATTTGTCATGCTTCGATATAAGATTAATTAATACAGTGAGTAGCAAACCTGTCATGAGGAAATGTTTTTATTTTTATTTTGAGGGGGGGCAGAGTTCAGTTTTTCGGGGGGGCCCAAAATCTCTTGCTACGCCACTGAGCCAAGTCTGACCACAACCATGCACCCAGTTCTGATCGTGTCCACGTGACAAATGCAGTTGTGGAGCTGAAAGCCACCGCTCATGAATCTCAGGAACCCACGCGTAGACTTGTGCGAATTGCATCTACTCCCAGTCTTTGTAATGCCCTCGTGACGTGGAGAGTGCGACGATCGGCGTCTACGACGAAATAGTGCATGCGACGTTTTGTCCGCGGCGAAAGCGCCGGTCACGGTATGCTTTCCCGAATTGAAAGGCAAGGGTTAGATGGACTAGTACTCTACAGTAGAAACTTGAACATTTGGAATGTATTTGGGTTGACCCAAAAATAATGAGATTTTAATATTAACCAAATATCTATGCAATTTTAACACATAAAAGTTTGACAAACAGAAAAATCAATAATAGACGACTGCTGTGGTAAAATATAAAAAAACGTTGATTTTTGCATTCGGGTTTAAATTCAAATATTTTCATGCGTCATAGTTTGTTAGTGCGACGCACGGAACACACCGAAGATAATTTTTGGTTTTACGTGTACACAAAATGGAAACGTGGTTAATACATTGGAACAAGATCATAGATCCTTCCAGCATTCACCAGAATGCTGGAAGAATCTATGCTCTGAATCAATGTATTTGTATCTGTAAGAAGAATCTATGCTCTGAATCAATGTATTTGTATCTGTAAGAAGAATCTATGCTCTGTATGGGGAGATGACACCCTGGGATTGTCAATTTTGCAACGCTGAGTGCAACAATTTAACACTGGAGAATGAACTAGCCTGCATGATTCTTCATGACCTGGAAGACCAAAGAGTTCATGTACTAATGTAGAGAAAATTATGCAATCTGGAGCAATGACGACAAGATAACTAAGGTTTGAAGAGCAAACAGGAATTCCACGCGAGTCTGTCCATGAGGTCAGGTCAATGGTGTCTGGCAGGGCATAACCAGTACGACATGGGCTTCCCGTGCATCGATCGTTCATGGCGGGACACGATTTTGAAGACAGCTTTAGAATAATTTTTTTCTTTGTGACATGAAACACAGATATTTACTCAGCATTGCCCCTGGCGACAGAAACCGACAAGACTCTGGAGCCGAAACAGAAGCTTTGAAATATTTTTGGAGTCTTCTCAGTAGCCACTCTCGCATATTTCACATCTTCGAATCTTAGTATCCTCGAATTTTTCACAACAGAGATCCTTGCACCAGTAGAGTATCTCCAGTTGTCAGCGTTTGCCCCTTTAACTCTCGATTATCAAGTGATAAATAGCCTGCAGATGCAGAGTGCCAGAGAGGAATTGTACAAGCTGAAAGCTTACTTGACAACTTGAGCTTTCTCACAACCTGATTAACTACTCATAGCAAATGTAGTCGCGTGAGCAGTCAAATTAGCAAAATAATAGCGCCTGTTTGGGCCTTATGCGTTCACTACACTGGGACGAAGCTCACTTTATAAACATGCAAACTTTCTCCCATTTACTCCAGCTCACATATAAGCTGAAAGAGAAAAAAAAAACCTCTCAAGATCACTGTAGTTTGAGTATTTTTTAGTAAATACACCCAAACTTTAGAAAACTACTTGTAGAAAGGCCCACGAGTATCATGGGCAATCTAGATATTTAGCACCTAGCACCTTTGGATCGGGAATCTAGCACAATACATGAAATATATAAGAATATATATGAATGTTAAGAAGGGTATGCACGTATAAAGGGTCTGGATTCCACGTTTATTCATTTGAGTAATTAATAAGCATTTTGATGATTTGGCATTTTTCGGCAAACTACCACTTCTCGTAGGGCCGATTGACCTGGCTGACCTCTGTCACGTACAGTTCTCTGGGAATAAGCTCGACAGGTGAGTACTATCTACCTATCTATTGATACATGCCCTGGGGCACCCTTTTGGGGGGGACATGTTATCAATGATATATATTTGCTTCAGTCAAACGGAGAGACATGGAAAGCTGAAATTTGGCATGGATTTGCCTACTGAGACACAGTTCAGGAAAAATGTCAAGTCTCGGGTGCATTTTTTTGGAAGGTGACGGTTTCAAATAATTTTTTTCCATACCGAATTGGGCATAGAGAACTGAAAATTGGCGCACCGATAACTGAGGTGAGTTCATAAAAAAGTCAAGTTTTGTGGGGCATAACCTCAGAGCGCAGCTTTTGGCTGCATTTCCAAAGGTTTTTTGCATCAGCAAAAAGAGCAAACCCCGGATAAGACTGAAACTTGGTAAGCACGTAGTTCTCCGAGTATTGATTTCAGTAAAAAGGTATATTTTCATGTAAAACCCCTAAGAGCACTTTTTTTTTGCAAAAGGCGCATTTTTCGAACTCTTTTCTCATCCAATGAGAGAGAACTAAAGAAAGTTGAGAGTACCTGTTCGATTGCTGAGTGCATATCCTACGTTTAAATTTGACCCCTCAGGGTAGATTATTAAGAGATTTGAAGTTAGGCACACAAGAAATAATTGAAGTAATTATTTTGATGAAAATACCGGTTCGTTCTCTCTCAGCACACAATTCAACAGGCACATGCTTTTAATACGTTTTCGCCACTTTGAAAATAAATTAATGAATTAATCACTAACCTGGCCAATGGAGCGCCGAAGGCGCAACCACAGTGAGTTTGTTTGCCCTTCGGGCAAACAAACTCGCTAGTATATATTCACGGTTCACGGTTCCTTTACGTTCTGAAGGTTTCTAAAAATAAAAAAATACAACCATCCATATTAATTTGATAGGGTCAAATGCTCCTCATAACCTCCCAAAACGATAGAGAATTAGTTTTCGGAAAATGGTATAAATATGTACAGGAGAAATCTGCATTAAAAAAAGTAGAAATTTAAACTCCTTTTTGCGGGCTTAAAAAATGATGTCCTCAGAAAACACGTAACTTTTTTAACACTTCATTTTCTTAGTTTACCAGTTTTTGCATTTCAAAATGTCTCCCTAGTTTTCTTTTTCCAGAAAGTAGCTGACATTTGGAAATTAGCTGATTGATTCTCTGCCTTTCAGGATGCACACACACTCGTATTTAAAAAGATATCCATGCATTTTTTAAGAAACGTAACTAAAAAAAAAACGGGAAAAGTACTTCAAAGTTTTATTTATATTTTAATCTCGTTTCAAATCCTGCTATTTCTTCAGGTAACGGGTTCCATTATACACGTATTGTTTTAAAGAAATTAGCCCCCCAAAACTGGTGTGATCTTGATGATATAAGCACGTGTCAATTTATCATGAAATCGATACATCGACATTATTTTTTCATCTAGCTAGCATTAAAGAGAATATCTCTATCAAAGTCTATCGAAATGAGACTTTATTATCAATTCAGTATAATCAATATCAATATTGCACATAAGACTAGATCACAACACTTTGGAGAAAACACTTCCTCTAATTGCAGAAGGAAAACTATGAAACCATGCACAATGGCCAATAATGCATGCATGAACCACTTATGCATTACACTTTTCAGGCAGAACTAGGAAGAGGCGAGCAATATTTTTAACCCCCCAATCTGGCTGCACATGTATATCAGATGTTCTTACAAAGGGCAATTTTTTCAGGGAGCAAAAAGAGATAATTATAATAATAATGTTAAAATCGTATTCATCCTTTTGTTAATTGTAAATTTACCTCAGTCACATGGGGGCTCAACACAATGGGAAAACTGTCACAATGAAGTGTGCGATCTGAAGCATCTTGGGCAAGCTTCTTTTTTTAGTATTTCTTAACCCTTTGTGATCCACTGTTGATTATGGTTCAACAATCTCCAAAGTGTTAAAAATATAAAGTATTGCAAAGGGTTAAAAGTGGCAAGTCTATGTTCGCTAGGAAGAATATCCTAATTGCTTCCATAACATCCCTAAGACAACGTATGACTGCCACATGATTAGACTCCCATACCTGGGGAGCCACAGTTTCATCTGCTCTCACAGGGAAATAAAATACACAGCGGTTATATTAAAACTGTGCCTATTTGTTTTTATGAGAACAAAAGTATATTTTATCAGATTGGCCCAATTTTTATAGTACCAAATGTAGAAAGATAATAGAAGGATTTTGTCAAATTTAAAAGGTATCCATATCTTCAGTCACTGCTTATGCTCGAAATGGCACCTACATTCTCAGTTGCAAGCATGCAACCACTGTCACCATTTCAGAATTGCTCCATTGATGATGACTTCCTCCAAGGTTCCTCCTTCCTTCCTCTTGCAATTACTGCATTTTTTTAAAAGCATTTTTGTCTGAGATAATTCTTGATGATTCAATGGAATGTTGAAATGGGTATACTAGTATCCCAAGGTATTTTGGAAGCAGGGATGTCAGGGCATTTATCCCCCTTCAAGTTTGGACTGGTTTAATACTCAATACAATTTCCTTCAAACTCAGCACAAACCTTCTTATATTTATACATTTGCAGAGTTTTACTGGGCCAATTAAATTTAATTTACTATAAATTTTATAATAAAAAAGCTAGGCACAGTTTTCTTTTAAACACTGAGTACATTTTTTCACAACATTGGAATATTACCAGCTTGAGGGGTTAATCACTGTCTCCAAATCCTTCAGTGATGAAGCAGATTCTTTGCTATGATTATTTTCATCACTTCTGATGTCCCTTCCAAGATTTCATGCACTCTGAGGTCTCTCCAGTACTGCTGAACAGCATAGTCTTTGAGATAGCCATACCCTCCATGCAGCTGCAGGGCTGTATTCACCAGCTGTGGATTCCAGATTTTTAGCATTTCATTAATGAAATCACTGACTCCTGTGAGCACAACCAGCTTCTGGGGAATTGCATGAATCACAAACCTTGGAACATGTCTGTGTGGCAAAGAGCTTTGCCATGGCACATAATGACACTGCATCCTTATGGCCAGACTGCAAAGCCATTGCTGCATTTCTCACCATCATTCGTGAGGCAACAAGCCCTGTTGCCATTTGTGCCAACTTGAACTGTGGATCCTGGGTGAGATGGGAACAGTTCATTTTATATAAAGAGTTCAACTTGACCATAGCATATCCACTACTGTTGTAAGTAAATAGAGAGAGATACCTGGAATTCAGCAAGAGCCTTTCCAAATTGCTTTCTTACTTTCACATATTCTGTCGCAAGTTCTAAGCTGGCTTGAGCTGCTCCAAGTGAACAGGATGCTGTGAAAAAAAAAACATGAATAAAATTAGCATTATCATGTTAGATACAGAGATGTGCTTCAATGTCTCTGTGAATGTACACGATGACAAAAGTTTCCAAAAGCTTGCCTATATTAATGCGACCACCATTGAGTCCATTCATGGCAATGGAGAATCCCTGACCCTCTTCTCCAAGCCGATTGGTTACAGGGACACGACAGTCTTCCAATATCAGAGCTTTGGTTGGCTGGGAATTCCAACCCACCTTCTTTTCCTTCTTACCAAAGCTCAGACCTGTCACAAATAAAAGACAGGACAAGCAACAATTTTGATATAACTTGATTACAAAATCACCACTGCATAAAATCCAACACTTCTGACTTCTGACCTGGAGCACCATTTTCAACCAAGACACATGTGATACCCTTGGGGCCACTGCCTCCTGTCCGACACATTATCAAGTACAGACTTGACTCTCCACTGCCACTTATGAACATCTGAAACAGTAAAGTGATGATGGAAAGTAAAATTTTCAAGGGAGGAGAAGAATATCATTTGTCAGACACCTTAGATCCATTGAGAATGTAATGGTCTCCATCTCGCTTGGCAGTTGTTGACAAGGAAGCAGCATCAGATCCAGCACCAGGTTCAGTCAAACAGTATGATGAAAACCTCTCCATAGAGGCAAGTTTTGGTATATATTGCTTCTTTTGAGCTTCATTTCCATACTGATCTATCATCCATGCACACATGCTATACAAGGCACAAAACAGAACAAGTAAACTTAACAATAACCAAGTTCTGTCAGCTCATTTAGAATGGGAATAAAAACCTATCTAGACTCCCAACTTAATGAGAAATGGTGCTCCAGGGTACAGGGTGTAAATGATACAATAGGCATGGTTCCCCTTAATTCTTTCTTCTGTTTTTTTTTTTTGCATAGTTCAGAGGGTAACATAAGGACAGAATGGAGGGCAGAGGCCCTTGGAAATAAAATAGGTTATTATATAGGCTGCTTCACAAAAATATTTACCATTTTGAATTGCCATGACTTCTTTATTATAATAAACATTCACTTCAAACAAAAACAAATGCAAATTGAGCACCTCTAGCTGCAGAACAACCTCAAAGATGTTGAGAAAAGTTTTGTGCTGCTGCCTTCAGTACTTCCTGCAGAATGCCTTGAACTGCCTATTGACTCATTCCCTTGAGTTATGCAATATCTGGCCTGTGCATATCAAGTATTATTTGAGAGGACATTTCTCTGGCTGAAAGTGCATTACAAATAGATTTATTTTTTCCAGCAAGAAGAGGCAACCTGCCATACTGCCCACATTTGTCTTGAGTGGCTGAGAGAGATTTGCTCAGTGACTCATTTCTCAGCAAGATGACATCAAGTGGCTGGCAAAATCCCCAGACCTCAGTCCACTTGACTTTTACCTGCAGGGATTCAGCAAGAATGAACTCTTCAGGACATGCCAGATATTGTATAACTCAAGGGAATGAGTCAATAGGCAGTTCAAGGCATTCCACAGGAAGTACTGAAGGCAGCAGAACAAAACTTCTCTCAACATCTTTGAGGTTGTTCTGCAGCCAGAGGTGCTCAATTTGCATTTGTTTTCCACTAGAACAAAAATTTTGGAGTTTCTTTGCAACTTTAAGTTTGAAGTGAATGTTCATTATAATAAAGAAGTTATGGCTATTCAAAATGGTAGACAATTTTGTGAAACACCCTGTAGAAGCCACCTAGAATTAGCTGTTTCTAGGGTTGTATCTGAAATGGGACACCCAGTATCAATAAGAAATTAGCATAAAACACCAACAGTTCAAATTAGTTGGCCAATCTAACCAACCAAAAATTGTAATTCAATTAACTTTGGGGCAAATACAATTCAGTCTTTAATAGAATTTCAACTTTGTCATATTATCTTCCTAAAACAGGCATGGGAAACAAAATTCTTAACATAATGGAATAACAGTAAATCGTAGACAGAGACTACCACTCAGTCCCAGTTTGCAGTTGTTAGACACTTTACAGGAATACTACTGCCATTGACAAATCACAACTTACCCTGAAAAAGAATTATCATAAAGAAATCAGAAGCAGAACTGAGAGATGAATAACCCAACTGTAACTAAACTACTTGCAAAATGAACATAAAAGGGGCTTTGGCTGTGGGAAACCAAAACAAGCACAAGTTCAATTTGGGCTAAACGAGTAATCATTCAGGATAAGCAGGACAGCAAGAGTCACTGTGTTTCTAGGGTGACTGAAGCCAGGTGATTCAATTTTTCTGGGCATGTCTCACCCCTGTGCGTGTGTGTACTTCATGAATGACTTCACTAGTAGCCTCTATATATTCACAGCTCATGCTAGGCCCTGCCTGACTTATTAGCTAAGTCAGAAATTTCATCCTGTTAGGGTGTTGGGTTTATCAAAACTGAATTCAGTATTCAAATAATAGTGTTAAGCCTCAGACACATACAAAGTTGATTTGATAAACCCTAGTAATCGCTGATGGCCCCAACAAAACTCCATACTATTTACAATGTATGATTTATGAAGCCTTCTCTTCTGACCTCCTTCAACATGTTTTGAAGGAGACTCCAGGTCAAACTTGAGAGGCAGTAGGCAAAATTAAGCAGAGGGCTTTCCACTCAACCAGAGTGTTATTCACTTGACTTGGACATTTGTGTATGGGATGTTCATCATGCATGAGTGTCACAAACAAGAAAAATAAATATCTGACTCACGTGAAAAATGTTGGAGTATGGGAACACATTTTCCTATGGTAAGTGATTGCAAAAAGTGACACTAGAGATACATTAAGCTATTGTCACCAACAAAGCAGTCAGTCCAGTAAGTCAGAAACAACAAGGGATTGCTATAGAGATGCACATATGCCTGCTGCTTGTACAATGGGGAAATTTTTTAATGTTCTTTTTTATATTTTACTTTTTTTTTTTTACTCTAGACAGACTTGACTTTAACAATCATGCATGAGGAACACCCCATGCACAATTGTCCAAGTCAAGATGAAAAAGTGTCTTACTCAAGTGAAAAACACTTTAAAAAGGAAAATTCTAAGGAGCTCAACCAAAAAATGGAATCCAACTACCACATTCAAACTGAGGTTCAAGGTAGAAAGGGAACTCTACCAATCATCAAAGATTGAAGCAGGTAGGTGGCAGATATTCAGACAAAGCTACTTCAACACTTTCAGTCCCATACCCATCATATGATGGGTATAAGCCAAAGTGCATTCAAATCCCCAGGACTGAAGGTGTTTGAGGTGGAAGTAGCATATTGAGAGGCTCTTAACCTCATCCATAGTGGGTGCAAATATGCTTGACTCTGAGCTCTCCTATGCAAAATATGTGGTCAAACCACAATGGAAGTTCTGCAAAATTTGCCTTAAAAATGTTGGATCTGGTGCAGATGAAATATCCAGGCAGAAACACTCAAAGAAATGGGTCTAATGAAATTCAGAGTTATCAGTGGAGATTATTAAAAGTGCATTATCATCCAATTTTGCTGATGGTACGAATTCTAATTGGCAAATATAAATAATAATTACAATAACAGGATCAATACTTTGTGGAATCAGGATAAGTAATTTATATTTAAAAAATAGAATAAATCATGCCACTCATTTTTCATGGTCATCATGCATGATTCAAGTATTCCTTTCCTGGTAGTCACTTCATTGATTTAAGGAAGTGGTTATTAACTTATAAGGTAAGCAAATAAGGTTGTCAATATTGGATTAATTGAAATTTTATTTGCTACAAATGTCATTGCTGGGATGTAGAATAACTTTGGATGTCATAAATAATTTTTAGCTTTACTCCAATTTGTTTATATCAAACTTCCTGATACATGGAACCAAATGTCAACTCCTAACTAAGAGATTGTTGCAATTAACTTGGGAGTAAAACATAAGCACAATGAAGAATGAAAAACATCTCAAATCAGGGTTCTCTTGGGCATATTAATTACCCAAATGGAGAAGTTGTGCTGCCAGGCAGACAGGAGAAATTTCCCCTTTTTGATTCTCTCTTCCCCTTCCCTCACTGACACCTAAGGAGTGGATTAACCCTTGGACTGCCCAATACATATACATGAGTATGTAACAATTCAATCACAGTGTTATAAATCATTTAACATGTGAGAAATCATATTCTACAAACCTATTACTCAGAATTTTTTATTACTTATGTGGGAGCACTGGTAATAAAAAACCAGGCTGATTAAATAAATTCTAACACTGCACACTTATTGTCACTTTTTTTTAAACCTTCGTTAAAACTGAGGATTCCCCATAAGAGGTGGAAATATTGGCACATTCCATCTGTTTGCCACTCTCACTTGGTACCCTCCCTGTCTACAAACTGTTTTGGTAAGTAAATGTCAGATAATACATCACATGGTGTTCACCTCCTGCTATCAGACAGGAACATTCCCTAAGGACAGAATAATTGCCTTGAGGCCACTTTCTTTGAACTCATAATTTTTTCTGGGAGTAGAGCTGATTCCTCATTTGACTAATTCTGGGTAGCTTGAATGGATTTTCCCAGGCGTATGTACCTTGCATTAACATGTCTTCCCTGTATTTAACAATCAATCACAGACTAAAGTCCAGAACAAGCAGCATTATATAAAAGTTCCACAGCACATCCTTAGGTAAGTGTTAGGCATCAATGTATCAAGCCTTCCTTTCAATTAAGAACCCCAAGGAGCCACTACCCAGTTTAAAATCCCAACTGGAATATTTTATAAAGAGGACCCTACAGCTGGAATGTAGCTAAATTTACAGTTGAAAATCAGCTGTTCCTGTAAATGGACCTTTGACAAAAATAGTCAACAAAAAGTTTCTCATTCATTCAGCTAGTGATATAGCAATTAGGAACAAATGTGGAATTGACTACTTTCCAGCTGCTACCCAGTTGGAATGGGTCTGAATTTCCAGCTGGAGTCCAGCTGGAAATTATAGCTGTTTCCAGCTGGGATTTTAAACTGGGTAGGTATGCATGAGAAATAAAGCTACATTAGGATACAATATCCTGCTACCATGTGTCGGCATGCCTAGTGGGAAATAATCTCTGCCCCTACTTCCTTTTCCTATTTGTCAAAACACCTCTCCCTCTGATTATTATGAACATGAGGACCATGGAGCAAGATGAGGAAATGAAATACCTGCAATCCCTTACATCCATGGTTGTGCATTCATTCCCTTCCACCACTGAACTGAAGGAAGATGCTTGCCTCCTTAATAAATTTATTAGAAAAGTTATGAATTCATACTTTGTTATTGGATCCTTTTTTTAATCCAGGGGCCCAGAGACTCAGAGTAACCTCCACTAATAAATTGGTCTTTGTCGTATCACCAGGTCAAAATTGGCATATCAGTTAAAGTGATGGCAATGAAATTGCCAAGTCTAATACCCATTATGCCAATATCAACACCAGCATTAGTGCATCTATATGTATACTAATACACCAAATTGACATAACAGGCTATTGAAGCACAATTTCATGCCTGCAACAAGTTCAACATACTTGTGAATGCTGATATATGCTGTTGTGGAAACACAGCCTTGAGAAAGAGCTTCAAAAATAATGCTGGCATCTAGACGATTCAATCCTGTGCCACCAGAGTCCTCCTTCACATAAATTGCACCAAATCCCAATTTTGCTGCTCGCTTCAGCACGTCCGTGGGGAAGATTTCCTGCAATACCATCACTTAGTAAGACCTACCACAACTGTAACTGTAACTGCATTACTAGAGAAACAGGCAAAACCATGAATAAAAAGTCTGGCAAAGTCCAGTAAATCTCACCTTTTCATCCCACTCTGCCATTCGTGGCAACATTTCATTTCTTGCAAAATTCAGGGCAACCTCTTGGATATGCTTTTGTTCTGTGGTCAACCCAGAAGCAGCTTCAAAAGGAAACAGAATTGCATCAAAGAAGGTGTAGATACATGATGTGAGATTATCTGCTTATGCACTTTGGGTTTTGGAATGGCCCATGAACTGATCATAAAGCGAACCATACACACACATACAACTGCCCCTCCATTGAACACCATGCCTTTTCTAGGCATAGCCAGCCAACCCACAATGCAGCATAGGCCTATCATAAGTCCAATTTTGCAGTGAGTGGAGGTGTGCATCTAACAAACATTACTGGCCTAGTTGGGTTCATGACGGTGGAGGCCTAGCTCTATCTAGGATTGGCGGCTAAATTTTAAGTTATAAGATAATATAGTGCCATAAAGCCAGTGTCTATTGGTTCATGCATTAGGTCTACCTAGGTTAGGTAAGTTTGTCTACAGTGTTTATAACATAACATGGACACACGTGCATGGGACGTTCTTCATGTGTGAGTGTCGAAGTCAAGTGAAAAAATGTCTGACTCAGGTGAAAAACATTAAGAAGTCTACCTCAAGCTACGCTTACTTACAATCGAGGCTAGTGACGGTTGAGACGTGCCTTTCACATCCTGTCTCCAGAGACGCGATTCCTATGGGCTGATGAGATTCGAAAGGTTTTAGCAGGAATAGGGGCTGGAAGGGTGTGCAAATAATGTTTGGCCTAACATGAGATCGCAGTAGGCGAAGGGAAACGCGGGTCTGGCGGCACAGCGCCATGTCTAATACAACTGGCCAAAAATTAAAGAATGATTGTTTTCTCTTGACCTATCAGTAGTTGGTACCAGTGGCACAACCAATACCGAAAGATTGGAGGGGGGGGGGGGGGGGGGGAAGTTCTCATGACCTTTTTTTTTAATGTATCCGAATGCAAGAAGACGTTATCAAATTATCAGATACAATCATCATACAGTGAGGGACAAAACTGTCAATATTTGACACAGTTCTACTAAATGACTCATAACTCGAGGATGACTAAATCAATTTAATTCAAATTTCAGCCAATATCACTCATACTTTCGATTAGGGCTGGTCGCTTGTGAATTGACCTCTTATTGGCTTTACAAATCCAACTAAGCCTAACTAACTCATTGACACCGTTTTGTCCCTCACACTCAAGCATACGGAAATCGAATTTATTTATTTTTAGTTTATTTCCCTTTAATCTTCAACTCTACTTAGACCCATCTGGGCAAGTTCTCGATCATGTCCAACATGTTTGAACTGAAATGGCGTCCCATTTTGTCATAACCCGCTCAAGCAATTCATAAATGCTGGCTGACTCGTTGTCGTAGGCTTCCAGCCTCCACGTCAAGTGTTTTCACAAGTTGTCTATTGGGTTGAGGTCTGGGGATTGTTCTGACCCAATGAAAAATGCAACATTGGAGACCATGATTTTTCTATGCTTATAAAAAAAAAAGCCGCTGTAGCGCTATTATGGCTTCGATGAAGCATCGCAGCTCGGAAATGGCTTCATGACGAAAATGGGAATAATTCTGAGAAAACATCACCGAAGCAAAAGGCATCACTGGAGACCATTACATTTCTGATCTTATAAATAAACCGTTTCAGCACTATTTCGGCTTCGATGAAGCATCCTAGACGAGAAATCTATCCATTCCAAGTATGCGAAAAAAATATGAGAATGTAACACCCAATGCTGAATACATCAATAGGGAGCATAGCATTTCTGTTCTTATAAATAAACAGTTTTAGCGCTATTCTGACTTCGATGAAGCATCGCAGCTCGGAAATCGCTTCATTCCGAAGATGGAAATAATTATGAGAATGTATCACTCAATACAGGATGCATCACTGGGGACCATCATTTTTCTGTGCTTGTTAAAATCCGATATTGCGCAATTCCCTTATCGATGAAGCATCGCAGCCCGGAAATCGCTTTATTCTGAAGATGGGAGTAATTTTGAGAATGTACCACTCTATGCACGATGCATCACCGGGGACCGTGATTTTTTCTGTGCTTGATAAAAAGCTGATATAGCGCTATTCTGGCCTCGACGAAGCATCACAGCCGGAAATCGCTTTATTCTGAAAATGGGAATTATTATGAGAATGTATCACTCTATGTAGGATGCATCACTGGGGACCATCAGTTTTCTGTTTTCTTATGAAGCTAATATAGAGCTATTCTGGCTTCGACGAAGCATCGCAGCCCGGAAATCGCTTCATTCTGAAGATGGGAATTATTTTGAGAATGTATCACTCTATGTACAGGGCGTTTCATTTAAATTGAACATCTTTGAACGCTCATATCTCTGAGAAGACGCAACCGTTCTTTACGAAATTTGACCACAATATAGAGCAACCTTTGCCAAAT